AGTGTCCAGAGGCCCTAATTGCTGCTCCTGCAGCTGGTGGGTACGGGGCTTTTAAAAAAAAAAAAGCGTCAGGACTAGGCTGGGGCCAGGCAGGGCAGCCATGGAGGCTTCTCCCGCATCTCCCACAGCTGCCTGTCTCTGCCACAGCAGGGGGAGCCAAAGGAGTTATGCCTTGCTGCCACTTGCCCAGTTGGTGCAAGGAGGTGGGGGCTGCAATGCAGGCGCAACTTGCTTTGGGCAGCAGCAGGGCGTAGCCCCTGCTCCCAGTGCTGCCACGCCCGCATCAGTGCTGAGAGGAGGGGCTCTCCCTTGCTGCTGCCTGCCAGCTGACATGGAGGGGGTGTGTGGAATGTGGGTGCAGCAATGCTGCAAGCAGAGGCTCTGCCCTGCTGCCACTTGCCCCCTTCTGCCTGGGGCGAGCCGCGCCCACATCTTGTCTCCCCTCTCTACCCTCCCGCCCCAGCTGAGCAAGCAGCAGCAGGGCAGAGCCCCTGCTCCCAGTGCTACCATGCCTGCATCCTGCACCTCCCTCCCTGAGTAACGCACCCCAACTGGGCAGCTTGTCCCAGCCCCAATCCCTCCCCCACGTCCCTTGCCCCCTCTGCCAACCCAAACAAACTTACCAGTTGGAGGCAGCTGCCCGTTTAGTCTATGGCTGAAGCTTCAAATCAGCCAAATCTTTTTCCGAATCAGTTCCGATGCTTCCAATTGATTCAGAGCTTTTACTTGGTCTCCGAATTCGATTCGGATTTGAAGATTCAGTCCCCAAATCGGGCCGAATCTCCTCTGAATCAAATCAGCTACCAAAGCTTTGCACAGCCCTACTATCTGTTACTACACATATCTGACAATGTAAAATTTCTTGCATTGTTACGGTAAAGTTGTGCCAACCAAACTCAAGGGGCACTGTTAGAAGAAACCAAAATCTGGTCCCTAGGCAACATTAAGCAGCAAAACAGAGCATCAATTTATTTCTTTATTAGGTCTGAAATCTTACCTCATTAACATTTATCTTTGATTTTGCAGATGACTCTAAGAATGCGCAATTATTCCATTGCCTTGCTAGGTTCTGACCTTGTTCCTTTCCCACAACTCTTTCATCTTCCAAGTCACACTTGTTGCCAACCAGAATCATAGGCACCTAATCAGGACAGATATTAAGTTATACATAAACTTTAAAACCAGAAATAGAATATAGTCATAAACAGGGGACAACACCAGCCTACATGAAAAACTCATTTCTTTATATCGGGGTGTCAAAATTCACGTGGCCCTGTGGACCACATGAGTGGTGCAGGACCAGTCCACAGCCCAGATGCAAGGCTGGCCTCAAATGCCCGATCAAGACCATACAGCTCCCCTCCCTCCCTGCACACTGGATCTAGCACCCATAATGCTTGCTCCAGCCAGCCCAGGACTGCACTGCACATAGCAACAGATCAGGATGCACATTGTACATGACAACTCTGGGGTGGGTGCTGAGTGTCCTGGACTGGCTGGATTGGGCACTGTGTGTAGCCTGTGCCCTGAACCAGCCAGAGTGGATATTATGCCGACAGCAACAAGACAGCACAATCCTCCATCACAAAATTAAGTTTCATTATGGCTTAATCCTGAAATCCTCAATCTTCTTAGGTTTGTACATACACAACAAACACAGCCAATTAAAGGTTTGTTCATCAATTAAACACATTTAGAGCCTTTTACCACCCAACAAATTTAAGAGATATCACCAACTTTCTTGAAACAAATGACCATATTTACTCAAATACAAGACAAAAGTGCCTTCTCCCCTCCCCTGACCAAACCCAACCATCATGTGGAAAAAGCTACTTGTCTTACATTCACATACAAAGCCTCATTAAATATACTGTCTATTGTTAAACTGTTGCCAAAAGCTGCATGTGCTCAGTAAGAAATGAACTATGAAGTTAATTAAATATAGCCAACACTGAGCATGGCTAAGACACATAGGCCACATTGGGCAACCATACTGATGGGAACTGTGCACGTGTGCCTTAAAAAAAGCAAAACAGTCAAATAAAATAAAAGGGTGGGTGTTTTCTCCACAGGGAACTGGTACCATTTCTGGAGATACTACAATACCAGGTTGCCACCGGGAAAGCCAGAGCCAGCCCTGATACCCTCCCCTTGGTGCCAAACATGCTACTGTTGTTCTCAGCCAAAAAGGTAGAGATGCTGATGGGAAAGATAGGATACTGCAGCCCATCTAAATAAAAAATACGATAGTGCCTATTGTAGTCAGTGCCTGTAAGGGCCAACTGTTTTACAAGTCATGGTGAACCACTACACATAGGCTATGGGAGTGAAGAGGAAGTTAAACTGGTTTCTTTCCCATTTCCCATGTGTCCTGCTTCTTCACCAGCCTTAAACACTGGCAAGCATCACCAAACAAGTCCAAACAACTCAGAATCTCTCAGTCTGTTGCACATAATTAGTGTGACCCTTCCCTTTGTGAGGCCAAGCCTGACCTAGCTGCCCTGTGCCTTATCTGCATATACATTTTTGGAGGATCCCAGGACGTGACAAGAACACATGGTTCCAGTCATTGGGGGGGTGGTAATTAGCACATGAATCCTCTGGGGGCAGGAGGGTAAGGGGGGACGGTCATATCTTTCCTCACTTCCATGTGCTCAGGGAAAGCATGGTCTGACAGTTAGGAAGGGGAAGAAATTGGAGGGCAGAGGGGCCATCCCCCCCAATTTAAAATTATTCTTGCTGTAGCAGTGGGAGGTGGACAAATTCAAGATAAAACCAACAATGATTAGATTCTATACCTGGAAAACACTACGTCTATAATATATTTTCCATATACAGAATCTAATTACTGAGGGGGTGGGGTTTGGTAATGTGTTTCCTAAATTCACAGTTACCAATAAAACAAGTAGAAGAATGCATCTAAATGTATACTTAAGTTTCTCTCTCACATGTATACTTGTTCATCCCCTCACCCAGCTACCACTAAGGCATTAGTTGCAGCAGCATAGCTTTTTCAGGGGATCAATGTAACAACAGTGGCTGCTATTTGGAGTAGCCAACTTCAAAGAAAAAACCCAAACGCCTTCTCCCTACCCCGAAAAACATAATTCACAAGCCAGCATCACTAGCAGAGCACCAAAACAGCCTGCTGTATCATGCAGGAAGGGAAGAGATGTTTGTTCCTTCCTCCCAATCTTTATTAGGATCCAAAAAGACCCGAAGCAGCAAGAGAAAGATGAGTTGCTGTGAACTGGATACCAAGCATATAAACTGAGCACTACCAGACACATATGGCCCTCTAGCTACAGAATTCCTGTAGATGTTAATGTGATTTAGGTAGGATTTTACCCACAGGTTTCTCCCATGTCAAGGAGGAAGGAAATTTTAGCATATCTGCATGTATGATCTGCACACAATATCCTCCTCAAAAAGAATAAAGATAATAAAAGAGAAAGAAAAAGAGTATCAAGATTTGCTACTGTGATGCTCAAGAAGTTAGCCTCAACAGCAGCCCAGTTGCTTCTGAAGTATTTTAAGCAAAAAAACAAAGAGGAGAAAGGAGTTCCTGTTCTATGCTGCAGCCCACTTTAAGCACTTAAGAAAAATCTACTTTTGCCAGAGAATATTGCAAAAATAAGATTTTAAGCCTATCTGCAACTTGAAAATAGACCCTACTTACTGATCTAAATGCCTTTAAAGTTCAGCAACTGAACAGAAGGGGAGGTAGCAGCAAAGACCTGAAATATGTATTTGACACATTAAGCTAAGGGGGAGTGAAAAGGAAAAGAGCCTTTTCCTTTACTACTTATATAAGTAAAGAGCATGGTTAAACTCTGTACAAACCAGGGGCTGTGACAAGGTTAGTGATGCCCCACACATGCATTTTATAAAAAAGCTAAACACTGTTCTGATATAAAATTTTCCCCAACAAGCCAACACAGAAAAGAGAACAGCAACAAAAAGTAAATAAAGAACACAGGTATAACGCACACAGTGGTGCAAGGCATCTTCACTGAAGTCTCTTCTCATTAGTTATCCTGGGGTTTTTACACTGGAGGGAGAAGGGGCAAGAAAGAAGCAGGTATCTGTGCTGCTGCCCATGCATGAAGTAGAACAACCACCAATCTCCAGCTAGCCTTAAAAGTTAAAATTGCAGCCAGTTTAAAAATGGGCCTATTCCCCCCCACTCCCCAGCAAAAGACAACACAGAATCCAACAGAAAATGAGGAGGTAAACAAAGCATGAAAAGATTTCATATAATCCTTTGGTAGCAAGTAAGTGGCTATGGGAGTTTAAGTTTAGGACTTAACAGATGACTTGTGGTAAAAAAAACCTAATGGATATAATTTACTGAAGGTCCTTTGCCAAATTCTTCTGGTCTTGCCAGGAAATATTAACTTTTTATTCCTCCATCTTCCCATAAATATATCTTTCCTAATTGTATTTAGGAAAATACTGCAAAGAAAAGATTCAGTCGCTACACAGGGGTAGGCAATTATTTCAGGCAGAGGGCCACTTACTGAGTTTTGGCAAGCCATCAAGGGCCACATGACAGGCAACTAGGGGCAGAAAATATTAATTTTCTAAAATTTTTAGGAGCCCTACAGGCTGGATAGAATGGCCTGGCAGGCCACATCTGGCCCACGAGCCACATTTTGCCCACCCCTGCACTACCAGGTGCTCAAGTAGGGGATGACCTAAATCAGCAACCTAGTGATCGATGAGAAGGTGGGTGACAGCAACCATGATCATCTTCGCCATCTGCCATACAGCTGACAAGTCAGTCAGCAACACTGAAGTCCTTGACTTCAGGAAAGCAGACTTTGACAAGCTCAGGAGGCTTGTCAGTGAGGCCCTAAGGGACCACAACCCC